GCCCTTATGGTCTCTTCCAACTCTATGATTCTATGATTCTATGATTAATTTGAACTGATAGTCTTGAATATGACTGCAAGGCCTAAGGAGAACAGGCCTATTGAATCCCTTGCTGAATTGTAAGTCAAAATTTATGTAAATGCAATGAGCCTACTCTAGTATTGATGAGCAAGGGGTTTTGGGCCCTGGGGTATAAAGGTCTAGCTCCTGTTGACTTGCCCTTAATATATATACCTTCCTGATTCATGGGGATCCATTCCAGACCCCCCCCCTCCCGCGAATTTGGAAAAACACAAATATTCAAGTCCTGTTGAATAAAATGGTGGTGTGCACATGCCATTTTGTCCTTCCTGGCTTCAAGTCGTTTCTGACTTACGGCAACCCTAAGGTGAAACCATCATGGAGTTTTCTTGGCAAGATTTGTTCAGGGGCATTTGCTGTTGCCTTCTGCAGAGGCTGAGAGAGTGTGGCTTGCCCAAGGTTGCTCAAGGGTTTTCCATGGCTGAGCAGAGAAGGATTCGGACCCTGATCTTCACAGCCATATTCCATAGTCCAATATATTACTAACATTTAATATATTTGTAATATTTAATTATTTTAAACTTTTGTAATGTCAGTGTTTTAGCTCTGTCTTTTTAAATTATTGTAACCTGCTTTAAATCCCATTGTGGGAGAAAGGTGGGATATAAATCTTTGAAATAAATAAATAAATGCTTAAACCACTTCACTACACTGGCTCATGTGAAAGTCTAATTCTTGCTAATGTTTGCCTCGAACAAACTGTATACCAGGTTGTTTTTTAAATCCAAAGAAGCAACTGTATGCCCACCACTACCATCAGCAGAGTAGTTTCCAAATATTGACATTGTCAAGAGGTGCTGAACTCAGTGTTGGCTAGCAAGCTTAGTGGATCTGATATGATTTGTTGTGGTGGTTGTATGACTTCAAGTAATTTTTCAATTTATGTTGACCCTAAGGTGAATCTATCATGGGGTTTTCTTGGCAAGATATGTTCAGAGGAGGTTTACCCTTGCCTTCCTCTGAGGTCGAGAGAGTGTGACTTGCCCAAGATCATCCAGTGGGTTTCCAAGGTTGAGCAGAGATTTGAACCCTAATTTCTGGAGTATCAATCCAACATTCAAACCACTACACTACACTGGTTCTCTATCTGATATAGAAGTTTTTTTTTAAAAAAAAACATATTATTTTCATGCTTTAATAATAAAATAAGATGTGCATTTAAAAACACTTCTTAAAAATCATGTGCCATGCACCTTCTTATTGTTAGAAGAAAACCATTCAAATAGTGTTAATTAATATGGGGCCCTGATCCAACATGCATCAATGATCTGGCTGAAACTCCTCTCCATGCTGTTTCCCTGCCAAAGGATTTGCTTTTGCCTTCCTCTGAGGCTGAGAGTGTGTGACTCAGCCAGGGTCACCCAAGGGTTTCCATAGCTGAGTAGAGATTTGAACCCTGGTCTCCAGAGTCCTTGTCCAGCATTCAAATCTATCTTTCCACAGATAGATAGATAGATAGATGGTTGATTCAAGCCATGGTATGGATCGCTTCGACTGCAAGGTCCAGCCTCCAGTAACACCAGTGTGTAAGAAAAAATTGTATTTTTCTTTTATATTGTAAGCTGCTTTGTGTCCCAGTTTTGGAAAAAAAAAGTGGGGCAGGTGGAGAATCAGCCGCCATTGACTACTGTTATGTATTCTACACGGGGCTTCCCTTGAAGACAGTTCAGAAACTACACCTAGTGCAAAACGTTATGTGGTTTGTTTGTTTGTTTTGTTTTGCATTGTATTTTAATATTTTATATTATTGGTACTCATTACCAAGACAAATCGGGTTGGCTTATCTCTCTTGACCTTCCAATAGGTCACAGCTTATTCAACTTTTAGCCTTTGAAATCAGGGTGGCTTTTCTGATTGTGTGTGTATATGTTCATGTGTGTGTTTTAAACCCTGCTTTTAAAAAGGTGGTTTATGTGTCTGATTTTATTTGTTTTCATGTTGACATAGCATGGTATAGTGGTTTGAGCATTAGACTAGGATTCTGGAGACCAGGGTTCAAGTCCCTGCTCAGCCACGGAAACTCACTGGGTGACATTGGGTGAGTCACACACTCTCATCCCCAGTGAACCCTGTGATAACTTTGACTTAGGGTCTCCATACATTGGAAATGACTTAAAGGCAGTCAATAGCAACAGCAAAGGAGCTCTGAAAGATAAGCAAAATTAAATTGATTTCAGTTCAGTTAAATCCAGATTGAAAACTTTTTTGTTTTCTAAAACTTTTTGAATTTCAGATTGCTGTTTTATGTCTTTAGTATATTCGATTATCCATACTGCTTATTTTGTTTTATTTTGAACTCAAGTCTCTGTGTGTTTGCATTATGTCTCTCTGTGTTTTCATTGTATTTTAGTATTTTTTATATTATTGAATACTATATAGATGTTTTATTCTACAGCTATTTGTAAAGCACCATGTACATGGATGGTGCTAAATAAATAAATGATGATCATGATGATGATGATGAGAAGACGAAAAAGAAGAAGAAGAAGAAGACGAAGACGAAGACGAAGACGAAGACGAAGACGAAGAAGAAGAAGAAGAAGAAGAAGAAGAAGAAGAAGAAGAAGAAGAAGAAGAAAGCTGCTTTCTTCTGTACATTCAGCCCTGTTATTCTTTGGAATAATAAATCCTCTTTGTGGAGCAGAGAAAGTGAAGCTATGGTGATCCAGAGGACTCCCAGTCTGTGGAAGCCAGGTCACCTTTAGAGGTCCTCTTCAGTCTCAAATGGCATCCTGGTGAGACCTGACACTTCCGCTTCTCTCCTGTTTTAGATTTGGCAGTGAATGCAGTGCTGCTGGAGAATATGCTTCAGCCAGATCAGATTTCTATGTTCTCACCACCCCACAAATCTTTCTTCTCCCTTCCCACCCAATAAGTAACTCTGTCTGACAAAATCAAGACCTGTGCCTTTGTTAGTACAAATCTCAAGCAAGGGGCATGCTTAGAAAATAGGGTGCTATAAGAAGTACAACTCAAGTTTGGGCATTGGTTTATAGTTTTCAGTGAATACCAGCATTTTCCTTTATATTCCACTTGGCCAATGGCTACATCTGCACTGCAGAATTAATGCAGCTTGACACTGCTTTAACTGTCATGGCTCAGTGCTATGGAATCCTGAGATGTGTAGTTTTGGGAGATATTTAGCATTCTCGGTCAGAGAACTCTGCTGCCTCCACAAACTACAAATCAGTCTGCCATGAAGGAGGGGAGAAAGAGCTCTGGTGCTACAACAAACTACAAATCCCAGGTTTCCATAGGATGGAGCCATGACAATTAAATCAGTGTCAAACTGCATTAATTTGGTGGTGTGCCCACAGCCTAAGAGAGTTGCAATCAGAATGCTTCCTCATAGCTCCTCAAAAGGAGTTACTGAGTGCTCTGAGATGGATGGATGATAAATCAATTGATTGATTGATTGATTGACTGATAGAGGATTTCAGACCTCTCTCTCTGTTTTTGAAGGAGTGTCATGCAGAAGATGGAGCCAGTTTGTTTTGCTCCAGAGACTAGGCGATGGACTGAAAGATTTGACTGTAAATGAAAGAATTACAAGCAATGGATTCAAACAATAGGAAAAGAGATTCCACCTAAACATTAGGAAAAACTTCTTGACTGTAAGAGATGTTCAACAGCAGAATGGACTAAGTGGGAAAGTGGTGCACCCCCATCTTTGGAGGTCTTTGAACAGGAATTGGATGGGCATCTTTCAGGAATGCTTTAGTTGGATATTCTTGCAAGGTTGAGGGTTGATCTGGCCCTTGGTGTACCTTCTCTCTCTCTCTCTCTCTCTTTCTCTGATTTATAAAGAATCATAGAATTCTATGACTCTATCTCTATCTCTATCCCTATCCCTATCTCCGTCTCTCTGTATCTATGATCTATATAGAATCATAGAATCATAGAGTTGGAAGATGCCTCAAGGGTCATCCAATCCAACCCCATTCTGCTATGGATGGATGATCATTCAACATCTGATTGAAAACCTCCAAGGAAGGAGATTCCATCATCCTCCAAGGCAGCATATTCCACTGTCAAACAGCTCTTACTGTCACAAAGTTCTTCCTAATATTTAGTGGAATCTCTTTTCCTGTAGCTTGAACCCATATCTTGGTGTCCTATTCTCTGGAGCTGCAGAAAACAAGCTAGCTCCATCCTCAATATGACACCCTTTAAAATATAGATATATTGCTCATGGGACTACTTAACTTGAATTCCACATAGATATAAACATTCCATATAGATATAGACACCAAGTGGAAGCCAAGCACATGGTTGGATAATCCCATGACTACTTCAGGATGTGGCCAGAAGCTGTAAAGAAGAATCCTGCCCATCAGCCCAAATTGAGAACAGCCTCTGACCATTAGGTGAACGGCAAGAAAACACCCATACAGATATAACATTACTTAGAATTAATTGATCTATTGGGTCAAGGTGGACAAAGAACCTTCAATCTTTTCAGACCCCTTGTCCCAAAATAGGTAGATCACCTCTCTGATAAGCCTCCAGGATTGCCATTTGCCATTTCAACAGATCATTCTGTTTAACATCCATATCATCCTTTGGACACATCAAGAGGTGGCATGGCTCATTGGAAAAGTGCTCATTCTGGGAAAAGAGTTTGAATCTCCACTGGGCCATGGAAACTCACTGGGTGATCCTCAAAAAGTCACTCTCTCAGCCTCAGAGGAAGGCAAGGGCAAACCCATTCTGAACAAATTCTGCCAAGAAAACCTGTGTTAGTAAGAAATGTTTTTAAAGAAAGCATTTGTGTACTTGAATCCTACATCATGTGAATTTTTAAAAATCATATTTTGACCAAGGTACACATAAGGAATGTCATGTCTAGCAGGGCAAGGTTTTTTTTCCTGCA